ACGCTTGCCAGACGGGCCCTTTCGCCGTTACGTCCGGCGAGCAGAAGGGGCTGCGCGTGGCGCGCGCGCGCGCGCGAGAGAGAGACCTTAACAGCAGGGCGCGGCATCGGCCCACGTGATCAGGAGAGAGAGAGAGAGAGAGAGAGAGAGAGAGCAACGCCTTCGTTGGAAGTGGCGCGCGGCCAGTGCCCGCTGCTGATTGGCGCTACGGTACTCTCCGTTTCTTTGCGGTAAACCTGGAGGCGGGAGAGCCGGTCACGAATAGCTGTCACGGCAAGGGGAATCGAGAAATAACTGGCTGCTGGGTTGGTCCATAACCAATAAATTGGATGTAGTCCTTTTCTAAAGTTAATGGCTCTTAATTTTACATTCGGGACCCAAACAGAAATGTTAACCTTTTAAACATGTTAATAGTTTTCTAAATAATGTATTAAATGTGCATAGTTAATACATTATATAAGTTTAATGCATAGTTTAAGTCTTAATCAACTTATTTTAATTAAGTGTTCATTTTTTAAAAAAATTTGTGCACCTTTGTCCCCCACTAAATGAGAGAGGTGGGATAAAAATAAATAAATAAGCCACACTCAAGTACTGTACGTTATAGCAGGATAGTTGAACCTGTATATTGTTCCTGGGAATTACAGCAAAGCTGCGAACATGGAAGTCTGTCAGGAGCCATTGGTAATGTGTCGTTGCCGCTGCAGTTCTGAACATGCCAAGGCTTTGACCCTGTGCACCTTTGCTACATTACATTGCTTTTAGGCAAAAATAACTTGGACTCTTATTTTTCTCTCCCCACACCCTCAAGCTCTGTAGTTTTCAGCATGCTGAGGGGCCCCTGCTGGACTTGAAATCTCATGTTTTTAATATTTTTTAAAGTGCTTCACCTTTCGTTCCTTTTTCCTTCAGTGGTTCAAGACAGGAGGCAGGGGATTGCACTGCAACCCCAACACAAAAGAAGGATGGTAGAAAGCCATCCTTTTCTCAACTCCCTCATTAATGTAGCAAGGTGATTAGTGAAAGTTTGGGTATGTAATTGCTTTTGTTTTTGACAAGGCTCTTATCACATGAGTATCACTGATATTGGTGAGAAACATTCTCCTCTTTCTATCATAGATATATTTGTTTTATTTTTAAAGGCCCAGAAGTCTTGGTGCCAGAGGTGTAGAGAAAAGTACAGTAGTTAGAAAAGTAGTTACAGGATTATATTGTAAACATCTAGAAATAAACTTCATAGAAAAACAAAAACAAAAAAATAAAATAAAAACAAAAATTAACACTGTGTGATCCACAAGGAGAAACAAAATTCTAGGTGCGTAACACCTTTATAGCTCATTGAATTAGATATCTGACTGCAAAGTATCTGATTGGGAGTTTGATTCCCCACTCCCTCTCGAAAGAAAAGCCAACCTGTATAGCCTTGGATAAGATGCATAGTCTCAAAACATCCCTAGAAGAAGAGGATGGTAAATATGTTCTGTGTACTCTACGTAGAAAAACCTGGAAAATTAATACCCATTAACTGGGCCAGCATAAGTCAGAACTGACTTTATGGCATCTTAATTATTGTTATTCCTATTCTCAACTAGTATCTCAGGTCAGTGATGGACTGAATGAGGGCAAACAAACTGAAATTTAATCAAGACAAAACAGAGGTGCTCCTGGTCACTCAAGAGAAGATCAGGGAACAGGGATTCCTATACTGGTTGGGGTTACACTCCCCTTGAAAAGCCAGGTTCACTGTTTGGGAGTACTTCTTAACTCCTCTCTGAGCCTGGAAGCCCAGGTCTTAGTGGTGACCAGGACTGCATTTGCTCAATTAAAGCTATACCCTACATCGTCATCTACAGTTACATACAGTCATGACCAAAAATATTGGCACCCTTGCAATTCTGTCAGAAAATGCAACCCTTCTCTCAGAAAATGGTTGAAGTTGCAAATGTTATGGTCACAACATGTTCATTTCTTTGATTTGCATTGGAACAACACACACACACACAAAAAAAACAGAAGTCAAATCTGATACAATCCCACACAGAAACCCAAAAATGTCCTCTCTGTTGCAGAGCTCAGCCAGCACCCTGGTTTAACCAGGAGCTGCGAGCTATGAAGCAAAACAAGGCTAGAGTGAAATTGGAGCCAGAACCCGACGGATTATAAACGGAAAGCTGTCAGGATCACGACTAACCACTACCTTTCTAAGGTGAGGTCTGCCAGTCAAGCTCACTTCACTGTCCAGATAAGCAAAGCTTCAAATCAGCAGGCGGAACTTTTGCATATAGTTCATGATCTCTCCAGAACTGGTCTATGTGATTGGCCTTCTACTAGTATTTCACCTGACCATTTTTAAAATGTAAAGTGGAGGCCATCTGCCAGGAGCTCTCTTCTTTTTTGAATACAATAGATTGTGCAGAGATGTCCAGCGCTCCAGCTTGCCCAGTGAAACTTGATCTCTTTCAGCCTGTGGTGCTAAATATGGTAGACAAAGCGCTTGACCACTGTTGTGCCTCCTCCACCTCCCTTGACCCATGCCCGGCCTGGCTAATCAAAGCAGCCAGGCCTACAACAACTGAATGGGCCACAGCAATAATTAGTGGGCTTCTCCAGGAGGGCAAGGTTCCCCGCGCCATGGAATGGAAACAGCATTGGTCACCCTGTTTGATGACCTGCTGAGGGAGGCTGATGGGGGCAAAATGTCCTTGTTGGTCCTCGATATCTCAGCCACCTTTGATACCGTCAACCACGGTATCCTCCTGGGGAGGTTCTCCCAGGGGTTGTGGAGCTTCTTGACATCAGTACGCTGATGACACCCAGCTCTACATCACCTTTTCTCCAACCAGAGTGGATGCCATTCTGTCTCTTCAGCACTGCCTGTAGGCTATACAGCAATGGATGCAGGAGAATGGACTGAGGCTGAACCCAGACAAGATGGAGGTCCTGAGGGTGGATGGCCCCTCCATTGGTGGTTTGGGAAACTCCCTCTCTTTTGGGGGAGTGACTTTCTCCACAAAGAGTGAGGTTCGCAGCTTGGGGGTCTCTCTGGATCCGGCGCTCACCGGGGAAACCCAGGTGGCATCAGTGGTCCGCTCTGCCTATTTCCATGTGTGGTGGATTGCCCACCTGTGTCCCTACCTTGATGTTGGGGCGCTCACCACTTTGGCCCATGCACTTGTAATCTCGAGATTACACTACTGTCATGCGCTCTACGTGGGGCTACCTTTGAGATTGATGCGGAAGCTTCAAAGGGTGCAGAATGCAATGGCCAGACTTCTTACTGGGGTGAGAAAATATCAGCATATTTCTCCCACTCTGGCTGCCCTGCATTGGGTGCCTGTTTGTTTCCACATTGATTTCATAGTGTTAATGATGACATATAAAGCCCTAAACCGTTTAGGACAGGGGTGTCCAACCTTTCACCTTCCCTGGGCCACATTAGAAGATGAAAATTTGGTTTGGGCC